ACTATACAACAATAAAACATGCCAATGACCTAAATTTATACTATGATTGTGTGTAAATCATAACTCACTGATTAAACTATGAAAATCTGTAATTTTAAGTAAAATTATCATAAGCAAACAAGGCCCTGAGTTCAATCCCCCCCATATGGCAAAAAGAAAAAAAAACGTGCAGCTGTTACTAAATAAATCACTAATTTAACATAAGTAATATAAATAAAAGTACTACATAAATTTTCATAGAAAAAAATCATTTCTTAGGTTACAAATATTGTTAACACAAGCAAACAGACCTGTTAATAAAGCAATTTATGCCATGCTTAAGAATACGTTCAACTTTCTCCTTCATTTTTTCCTTCTCTGCATGTTCTATTTCTGCAACCTTTGCCGTAGAATCAACTCTTACCCGGGAACCAAATATCTAATTAGAAAACATAAACACAGTGTAAGTTTCAATACTCATTCTTAAAGAATTCTACAGTGAATTTCAACATTTTTATAAACGTATTAAAAAAATGTGTATCGTCACACATATATTCTAAGCTTTTTAGTGCAACTCATTCTGAACCTGAGTTTATAGCTATCAGCAACTAGAATTAAGAAATGTAGTTAACATACCTTTATTTTATCTGTATCCATTCCAGTATTTGCAATAAGAATTTTGGCATTTTCAATTCGCTTTGGTTGATTTACTCCAATTTTTTTATCCAACAGAAAGCCTACAATAAACATGAGTAGCAAATAACAGTATTAAATAATTTTAAGGTGCATTAGTAAATCTTACAATAAAGGTATCTGTTTTATCAAATTACTAATTCAAAGAATACATTTAAGTTCAATTTACAAAGTTCCTAGAACATACAAAGCATTCCATTAGAACAGTGGTCAAAGAATCAACTTATGGATTAAAAAATATAAGAAGATTATAATATGAAAACATTAGGTTAAGACCACTTTCATTAGCTTAAAACCAACACATGAAAATTCATAAAAAAAGATATTGCTATAAATTACTGAACTTTTCAAAACACTAAGGCTGGTGGTAAAATGGAAATATAATGGACAATGGTGAAACAAACCTGGTCCCCTGCTCTTTACTGGCAGAGGTAGTGACGCTAATTATTAGCCTGGCCTTGACTTGATATCACTGTATGAACCCAGTACTGCCTATCTTTCCTGGCTGCTTTTAAATGTGTAAGAAAACTTTTGTCTTAGTAAGCCAACCTTGGGTTACTGCTCTGTTCAGATCAATCTAATCCACACCTACCAGGTAATCATGAGGACTAAAATTTTTATTATAATGACTGGCACAAAGCAGGTATTGAAGAATGACAGTTGCCTGTGCCACTCTCCCCACCCCCTTTAGCTATCTTTAATGAGGATCTCTCCTACTGCCAGTCCCTACTAGAAATACTACACAGCCCTTGCATATAAATTTAACTAAGAATATTTTCAGAATTAATGATATTGTCTTAAAATACATGACATTCAGCAAAATCAGGAGTCCAAATCACTGGTAGAAAGTTTTAAAGCTCAACTTAGTAGTTTTTTTCCTTCTCTATGAGAGAATACCTTATACTTTTTATAGGCCATTTTGAGAAATAAATACAACATAAAGATGCTGAGCTGGGTATGGTGGTACACACCTATTATTCCATCACTGGGAGGCTTAAACAGGAGGAACAAAAATTCAAGGCTAGCCTTAGCCAGGTCCTACCTCAATAAAACCAAAAAAGAAAACAAAAAAACAATACTTTGAAAAACTGCTCTACAAACAAACTACATTAAGAAAACAGCACTTGCTGGGCACTAATGGCTCACACCTATAATCTTAGCTATTTAGGAGGCTGAGATCAGGAGGATTACAGATTATAGAAAAAAAGAAAAATAAAAAGCAAATAAGAAAAATATTTGAAAAAACTTAAAAAAAAAAAAAAAGAAAAAAAAGCAATGTAGAAATAATAGAAATTAAAAATAAAAAGAAAATTAAAATAAGGATTAAAAAAAAGGAAAGAACCAACCCTGGGCAAAATACGTTTTCTTGGATCCTATCTCCAAAATAACCAAAGCAAAATGAACTGGAGGCCCGGCTCAAATAGTAGAACGCCTGCTTTGCAAGCACAAAGCTCTGGGTTTCAACACCAGTCCCACCAATTAAAAAAAAAAAAAAAATCAACTGTGCTAGACTCCATTACAAGTCTCAAAACTGACATCCTTCGATAAAAACCCAATTAACCATATACAAATTACTTGCTAATTGATGTTTAAAATTCTTAAAAAAAAAAAAAAAAATGCTGGTTGCTGGTGGCTCACGCCTGCAATCCTAGCTACTCAGGAGGCAGAGATCAGGAGGATCACGATTCAAAGCCAGTTGGGACAACAATTCACAAGACCCTATCTTGAAAACACCCACCACAAAAAGGACTGGTGGAGTGTATCAAGGTGTAGGCCCTGAAATCAAACCCCAGTACCACAAAAAATATATATAAATAAATAAATAGAGGAAAACTTTATCCTCAACAACTGTCTAAACTGACATACCTAATTCTTCTTTGAGAATACATGTCATTCTGAAAAGTGTCATTTGAGAATAGCTGTTTTTTTGCCCCTTTGGTGGTAGAAAGGTTTGAGCTCAGGGCTTCACACTTGTGAGGCAGGCACTACACAGCTTGGACCATACCTCCAGCCTAAGAATAGCTGATTTTTGTTAAGAAAACTATTTCTCTTTATTAGAGACTGCAGTGAACTCATAGTAGTAAAAAATGAAATCTACAGATTAATGGGATAGTGAGATGAAGCATATTATCAAAATAACAAATGGACTAAAATGACAAAAACAGTTGTAATATGATTTGTCTTTAAAGGCAAGCTTTATGACTTTGTAGTTTCACTGGTCCCTATTAACTAAAACCAAGATTTACTCAGTAAATCTCCTCAGGAGCTTAATAGTTTCTTTCCCATATTTGACACACACATACCTTCATCTAAATAGGAATCCGCCAGACTCCCTCCTAGCTTCTTGATGACATGAATCGCCTCCAGATTGCCAGAACCTTTCAGTCTGAGAACAGCTTCTACAGCTAATTTAGTAAAGTGGTCCTTGTGATGAGTAAGAAGTTTTGAGGATAATGTGGTTCCCGCAATATTCATTAAATCTTGACGGAATTGAACGTCATTAGAACTAAACATAATCAACAGAACAAATAATAAGAAAACCATACCTGTTATTAACATGTTTATCCAAACATATCAACCCTACTTTTCAAAATTTTTTCTAGCTATTCCTACCCAGTCAGGTCTCTAAAAATTACATAAAGAGAATTAAACCTCACCACTAATCAAGACACAAAAGGATAACCTTCCCAAACAAACTGTGGAAGGAGGTCAAGTGGGAGGGAGAAACAGGCAAATAAAGGACTAAGAACACGGGGAAACAAGCAATGTCATACAGTTAATGAGTGTAAAATTTTTTTCTGGAGGCCAACTTGGCAATGTACGTAAAAGTGCCTTAAAACACATATATACCTTTGGACCCAGCAATTACACTTCTAGAAACATTTCTTGGGTAAAAAATTTGCCACATTTTAAAGCTAAGAGCTGTTGAAAACACAAATTTCCAGTACAGATAGTTTAAAGAAATTATACCAGTAATATACTCAAACACATAAATCTTTAAAAATTAATGTTGCACAGAACATCAACACCCAGAAATGGGCTATCATCCAACTAGGTTAAAAAGAGTTTAGCAAACCAGGCCTGGTGGCACATGCCTATAATCCTAGCACATGGAAGGTAGAGGCAGGAATATCAATAGTTTGAGGCCAGCCTGGACTTAAAAATAAATAAATAAAAAGAGACAAACCTTCTATACAATGATACTAGTTTTGTTTGCATATCTATTTTGTTTATGTGTATGAGAAGAGTGGAAACCCAAACTGTCACTTCAGTAGTTATCTCTGAGGACTGCTAAGGTGGGAAGGAGGAGGAGGATCATATTTGTGTAGCTTTTCAGTGTTCTCGAAGTTAAATTTTTATAACAGTAGTTATTTTAGTATACCAACCCATGATCAACTGCAGAACGTAACAGAGCCTCTCTTGCAGCCTTTGTGGCTTCTCTCCAACCTGCGATGATGGTCTGCGGATGAATCTTTTTTGCAATTAAGGATTCTGCTTCCTATTAATAAATAGTTATACAAATAAAAGTTATAAAGTACTTGATTATTTCTGATACTCAAAATCATAGTAACAAAAAATAAGGTAAGTTGAGAGTTGTTTAGCTGCTCTTACCCTTAGTAATTCTGCTGCTAAAACAGTAACAGAGGTAGTGCCATCACCAACTTCATCATCTTGAACTCTTGACATATCTAGGAAAAAAATCAGTTATTAATTCAAAACTACATCTTTGTAGTTTACTGAATTTTTCAAAAATACTGTCTGCCAATCTAAATCTGTTATCTAGGTTCTCCATGTGGTAAGTTTTGGGGTACTTTCAGGCTTAAAATGGAATAGTTTTAACACTGCTATGTTTTGAATCTCACCCAAAGTTCACGTGTTGGAAACTTAATCCTCAATCTCTACCTTTCTCTCTTTTACCCATTTGATGCCTTCTGTGATGAGACAGTAACAAGGCCCTCAAAACTGTGAACCAAATAAACTTTTCTTTTATAAATTATCCAGTCTATGTTTTCTGTTATTGCAGCATAAAACAGACTAAGATAACTAACAATAATTACATGGTACTTCTGAAACTTTTAATAATGGTACAATCAATTAAAAAATTACGGGTATTAATTAAAGTACAGTTAGTCAACACAGCCTATTAGAAAATTTATTTCGAAATGTTAACAAAATTGTATCTTCAGACTCACCAACTAAAACTTTAGCTGCTGGATTGTCGACACCAATGTTTTTTAGAATAGTGGCACCATCGTTAGTTACCATAAGAGAAGCATCTCGTCCACTGCTTAAAAGAATTTTGTCCTAAAGGGAACATATTTGCTTCAAGTTAAGATCCAAGTACATCTTTTTTTTTTTTTAACTTGTTTGTACTGAATCATTTATAAAAGTTTATCTGAGGCATTGTTTAATAAAAAGCTGGTAACCATACACATAAATTATACTAGTATGAACTTAAAATTCATCATATTTTTCATTTTTTAGCGTGACCTTCTAGTAAATCTTTAGCTTCAATGATTTTGGCTGCTATATAAGGAGATCCTCCTTTGTCTGGATGATTTAAGAGCATAATTGGTCGGTGAGCATCTCTTATTTTTCCTTTATTGACAGTAGGGCTTACACCTAGTATTAATGATGCTTCTCGTTTTGTCATTTTGGGTTCAAACCCACCTCTGTAATAGCCACCACTGAAGGCAGATTTTGGTAGACTTTGAAAAACTTGTTTTACTTGAGGCTCCATATGCTTCATGGCTTGTAAGACATATCGGCCTGCAAATCCCATAGCAGCAATGCTCAGTCCAACTGCAACCACTGTGCTGGTCATGGATCATGCTCGGCTCTCCTGACCCACCGGGAGCGCGGTTCATCCCAGCCCAGACGCCACAGCTACCAACTATATGCCTTTACCAGAAAGCGACACAGCCACAGCCAGGGAGCACAAGCCCCCAAACACTCCTAAGTACATCTTAAAGAATGTATGGGTCAGTCAGTACATTCTGCTAGCAAGTAAATACTCTGAATGGCTATTTGGCCACCAAATGTTGTCAATGCATTCATTCCACAACCAAGCTTTGGTATCAACTCCTAGATAATAGAAGCACAGGAAAATAGAAGCTAAGTTTGCTTCAGTAATGTGTTAGAGAAAACAATGGAAACAAATTAAATGTCCATCAATAGTTATAATCAAACTACAGAATACTGTTTGACAATTGAAAGGAGAGAGTATTAACTGCTTATGCTGAAAGGAATTTAGAAGAGCAAGCTAAAGAATAATATGGATGTATACAACGAAACACTGTTACTTGAGAATATGTAAGAAAATACACATGCACATTTATGTAAGTGAACAGAAAAATAATGGAAAGATACATGCCCAAATGATAACACTCACTGCCACTGGGAAGGGGCATGGGATGGGGATGGTGACTCAAGACTATGCTTCTTAGCATGGAAAATACTTACTTTACCCCAATTAATATTATTAATTATATTTCCACTGAAGGAATTAAGATAATGCTAAAACTTATATTCATGGCCAGCTCTCCATCCCCACCTATTTTTCTTACCATGCCCTTGGGTCCCAAAGTGCTCTTTACCAAGTCTCCAATGGCGATGGCACCAATAAAAGACGACTGAAATAAAAAAAATCAAAAAGATTGTCAAGATTTTTTAGTTATGTAGAAAAGTATAATTTTATCTTAAAAAAAAAAAAAAAAAAGAACAGACTTACCAGACGAGCTGTCTCTGCCCTCTCTTCATCAGCTCCAGCCTTGAAGATGTTAACAGGTGCAAGGGAAAGGGACGCCTAAAGAGGAAAATCAAGAAACACTGCGTGTGAACACATGCACCCGGGCACCTCCCGCTGGCCTTGCAAGTGGACACCTGGCAAGTTCAAACAAACCTCGGGCCCATGGAGGTGTCTACTGAGGAGCTTACGGTGGGGGAGGGTTAAAAAACTACACGGCAGAGGCTGGCTGGCTGTCACTACGGCGAACTCAAGACCCTGCTAACCTAAGGACAAGCGGGCAGAGGCCGTCGCCCTCCATCTTCCGCTCCGCCCCGGGGTGGGGGGGGAAGGCGGGGCCAGCCGGGCACTAGAAATTTCTTCACCTTGCGGGGAGGCCCGGGTCTCGGGACCCCGGACCCGAGGGGCAGCAGAATCAGAAAAAGGCGCTGGCCTCACAGCCAACCTTCCTCCCGGCTCGCATGGAGCTCCGCCGACTGGGCTCGCTGGGCCTCACGCCGCGGCCTGCGCGCGCCATGTGAGGCGGACCCATGAGGCGGTCGCAGATAATCTGCTACGCGGCGAGGACACAGGGAGCAGCGGGGAGGCAGCGCACAGCGGGGCTGGGACACGGGCAGCGGTAAGGAGGCCAGGCTCACCATGGTTCCGAGGAGTTCGGCACACAAGCTAATCCCTCACAACTCACGCCTGGGAGGCAGCAGGGAAGAGGAAGCCGGAAGTGACGACACACGCTACCTCAGAGGGCGGGGCCATCACACCGCCACTGCCCGCGGCCGTACCATTTTGAGTAGATGCCTGTAGGCCGGAAATAGAGGCTTATGCATGAGGGGGCGTGGCCTCCCCTTGCGCTCCGCCCCCACGGCGCAAACCGCTAGGGAGAAGGGAAGGGCGGGCTCGGGGCGGGCTCGGGGCGGGCAGATTTGGAGTAGAACCAGTTAAGAACAAAGAGATGTTTGGTTTGGGGGTTTTCACAGCAACAGAGTTCTTGCTCATAAAAATTTTTTCTCTCAATTTTTTTTTTTTTGTGGGCTGGGGTTTGAACTCAAGGCTTTACGCTTGCTTTCTTTTAAAATTTTTAATCTTTAAAATTTCGTTTTTAAGGACCGGACGTGGTGGTACATAACTGTAATCCCAGCTACTCGGGAGGGGCACAGAGATCAGGAGAACTGGGGTTTGAGGCCAGCCCAGGAAAAAGTTAGTAAGACCCCTTCTCAACAAACAGGGTACCAAGGAGGCAGAAGATGGGGAGCATCCAGGTATGAGGCCTGCAAGTAAAATGGGAGTTCCTACATAAAAAATATATATATATAAAGCAGAAAAGAGCTGGAGGAGTAGCTAAAATAGTACAGTGCCTGCTTTTTAAAAAATTTACCAATATATTCCTAAATAATATTTTTATTTTAAACATTATTTATTATTACAAAGGAATTTTTCTTTCCTTTTATTAAATTAAAAAAGCTGTTCTAATTGGACGTTGACTATCCAGAAGGACAAGGTCTTTTGAACTTTGGTGGAGACATTTAATCTTTGCTCTTTACCCATTTCAGTAGCTTTTGCACTTCACTCATTCCCGCCCACCACCCCGCAAAAGTAAAGGTAGCTAATATGCTATCTTGGTGGAGATCAAGCTCAATCCTAAATATTTCAGTTAATTAAAAAGTTTTCTACTCTTTTTTCTTTTACTATTATATTATTGTTGTGCTGGGGATACATTGGGATATTTACAAAAGTTCTTACAATATATTATAGTTGAATTCACCCCCTCCATCATTATCCTTTATCCCCTCCTCCCATTTTTTTCTTTTTTTTTTTTTTTTTTTTGGCAGAACTGGAGTTTGAACTCAGGGCTTCATGCTTGCTAGGCACTCTTATCACTTGAGCCACTCCACCAGCCCAGTACTTACTCTAAGGTGACCCTGTTGAGGTGTCTAAAGCAAAACTTTGTTTTAATCTTTCTATTATCCACTGATATCTACTTTTCTCCCTTTGACAACTGACCACTTAACAAACCTGGATTTTTGGCAATTGCTAACATTGAGAGGTATTTTCAATTTTTATTCCTACCCTGAGATATACTCATTTACATTTGGAGCTGACAAACTGTTGGAGAGTCAAACTCAGCCTGTCTGCTGTTTTTGTATGACAAGAGTTAAGAATGGTTGAAATGGTTGAAAACAGTTTAAAAGATTATTAGTTGAAAAGATTATTTCATGACACATGAAAATTATGTGAAATTCATATTGTGGTGTCCCTAAAACTTGGAAACACAGATATATTCATTCATCTTCACACTGTGACAATATAATAGCAGAGTTATGAAATGGAGAGTTGAGCAGTTAGGATAATCTGTGTGGGCTGGCAAAGCCTAGTATTTACTAATTCTTTATGGAGTTAAGTTTGCTGACCCTATTTCTAAGATCCAGCTTGAAGAGGGGTGTCCAGGCTGGACAAATTGTAACTTTGAATCTGCCAAGAGTTTTCTGTTCTTTGTGGGCAAATATTTTTCTTTAGGAAATTTGTTGTTTTTTGGTGGAACTGAGGTTTGACCTCAAGGCTTCACGCTTGCAAAGCAGGTGCCCCACAATGAGCCACACCTCCGGTCCATTTTGCTCTTATTATTTTGGAGACAGGAGTCTTGCAGTCTTTATGTCTGGCTGGCCTCTAACTGTGATCCTCCTTATCTTAGCTTATCCTCCCAAGTAGCTAGGATTACAGGTGTGCACCGACACCTGGCTTGGATTTTTTTTTTTTTTGGTGGTACTGGAGTTTGAACTCAGGGCATCATTCTTGCTAGGCAGGAGCTCTACCACTTGAGCTACTCTGCCAGCCCAGGAAATGACTTTTAATAGGCAGATCCCAAGTGATATTTGGGAAAGAGAGGAGTCATGATGAGAAACTGAGATGCCTGTGCAATATTGAAAAAGGCTGTCTATTATGGACAAATTACAAACCAGAAGAAAAATTTTATTATGCCCTCTGGGTATCAGGCAGGCATGAGACTATAGATGATGGGAAGACCAATATCCCCTCCCTGTTAGGCTTTAGAGGAGTATGGTGAACATAGAGGTATTTGGATGGGAGCAGGGAGGTGGACCCTGCCATCTTGTGGATTTGAGGCTAGAGGCAGCCAGGAGCCTCCTACGATGGGACTCTTGGGAATGAGTCCTTTTCTCCATTGCATTTTTGTTGTTGTTTCAAGACAGGGTGTACTATGTAGCCCAGGGGCTAGCCTTGACTTGCTTCTCCTGCCTCAGCTCCACAGTACTGGGATTACATACCAGGCTCTTAGTCCATCTTTTGGCCCTTCCTTCTTTCCTTCCTTTGGTGCCTCTCCTGCACTCCAGAGGTTAAGTTAAATACTTAGCTTCTGCTGGTGGAGTGGCTCAAGTGGTAGAGTATCTGCCTAGCAAGTGTGAGACCCTGAGTTCAAACCCCAGTACCTCCAGAAAAACCCCAAACACCCAGCTTCTGGAACCAAGTTGCCTGAGTTTGAGTTTCAACTCATCTTACATACTAATTTTGTAGTTGTGGGTTGGTTCCATAAACTCTTTGGATCAATTCATCAGAAGCTGTTTCAGAGAGTAGTCAATTAGCTGAATTTACCATCTTACCAAAAACCTGGCTCTTACGGTTTTTCATAAATTGTATAGCAATTTGTATTAGGTGGGTTACAGGGCCTAGGGAGGTGTTAAGACATCTGGAGTCCATGTTTCTGTAGACTCTCCTTGCTCATTTCCCCTCTTTGCCCCTTAGTTTCTGCTTCTGTTAGCTTCCTTCTTTCCTCACCCTCTCCCCTCCATCACCACCACCTCAGTCTTTGTGACCCTCTCTCCTGTCACCCTTATTGTCCTCTTTGCTTTGGTATGGATTAGCAGTCACTGAGTTGGCTTTTTGTTGATTGGCAAGCTTTGTTACACCACCTGAGTACCCCAGTTTCCTATAAAATGCAGATGATAATAATCTGACAGAACTGTCACTAACAGTAAGCTGCTTAGAAGAGTGTGTGGCCTATAGTAAGCGCTCAGTTTAGGTTAGTTATTATTCCAATAAGCTTTGTTAAACATTGTGGCCTAGGTTGGGTGTGCTTGGCATAATATGGAAAGCACTGTCCCATTATGTTATTTGATGGCTAGAGGTGACTTGGGTGCAAGGATGGAATCACTACCTTGAGTAAAATACGTAACTGAAGTAATGAACCACCATCAGAACAGTTATGGGGCTTGTCAACACAGACAACACTCAGAATACCCAGGCAGGGAACCCAGAAGTCCTCAGTCACACTGAGTCAAAGTCCATTCAGACTCTTTACTGTTTGGGTAGTAGTGGAAAACTTAGTGATGTTCAGATATTACATGCAATTCTGACTGTGAAGTCTTAAAGAGATTAAGGTCAAGATC